CTGTGTTCAAAGTGATTGAAATCTTGGTTTGGAGTTTCTTTGTTTGGTTATGGAGGCGTCTGGCCGAGTGGATTGCTGTCTTGACCTTTCCAGGCTCTGAAGAAGGCGAAATCCGCCGAAACGTCAGCTTAATCGTGAACAAAGAATAGTAACACCTCGCGTTTGCTCAACAAAAATACGAAGAAAATCACTGGATTCTCACAGTTCAGTAACAATATCATTCAGCTAGAGTTCTTACAAAGGACGTGTCCATTCTTCGATGTAGAATGTACAACTATTCACATCTGCAAAGGATTTCTAACAGTACCATAGTGTGCGCATTATACCGTATCTATTTATGAATTTAGACGTGGAAGGAAAATAAACGCCGACGGGCTTTTTGAGATAAAATTGTTTATGGAACAGTTTTCCAAACGGTTTACCTCCTTATCATAGCTGGGAGGGGTTCCTGAGTCTCGGGGCCGCAATCTACAGCGGTTGGTTCATCCACCTATTAAAGCTTCCCAACCTGAGAAGGAGTCCGATGTTTCCATCTGGAAGCACAACTAAGAGTAAACCAATACTAGTAATCACCACCCTCCAGGTGTCAAACTAGTCTTACGGTGGCAAAATCCCCTGATCCACAACGGCTGCGACAGTCTGGGGTAATAGAGATCCGAGAAATACTTCGGCTATACTGAGCTCAGGACTCTAGGAACCACAACCGCGAAACTAGCAAATTTCCGGAGAATGAAAGTTATGCTCGGGCCCACACAACCAGTGAAGACAGCCCATCCAAGTATCCACGTAGTTCTAGTACAGCCCAACAATAGGATATTATAACTCAAAACATCACTTCATCTTGTGAGACTGTAAACTACAACAACTCTTATAAAAAGAACACTCTTACATCATTTCATATTTACATACAGACACATCACTAACTACCGTGATCAAGCTGGACTATGTTGAAATATGCCAATTTCCCACTACTATGTGTAGCAATATGGCGAATGTGGCGCAGTGATCGGAGGCGCCCTGCAACACACATGTGGAATCGATCCCCGCGCCTGTGGCCCACCAAGCCTTCCATCCCTTCAGAGTCGGCAAATTGATACCAGACTTGTCTGGGAGGATAGCAGCACCAGTTCGATACATCGGTAGGCTACCGACAGTCATTGTAAAGGCCAAATGTATATCCAACCATCTCCAAACGATACTTAATAAAGTCGAATGCATGGCGCCTCCCTCGGGGATTGATCAACAATGAAAGCTTTATCCTTTATCCTCTTATAGAGAGCAATGAGATGTGTAAAACAGTGCGTATCGAAAATCGTGACTGCTAGTATGCAAACTTCTCAAAAATTATACCAGAACATTGTGGTTCATGTAGCGTTTGTATAACAATTGATTACCATGCATAACCATTCCATGGCGAAGTTCTTACTATTAAAACTAGTAAGTCAACATAGATAATAAGAGACATACCCATAATACAGCACAACTGAAGTAGCTTCATACAGCACTTTTACATACTTAACATAATTATTAAGAAATCATTAGACCACATTCGACAACCGTCGAAGAAACATAACAACGTAACCGGTTTGCTTTTCATTAACAACTGATGCTGGAATTCTGTTAACCACAAGCTGAAAGCCACCAGAAGAATGTACAAATTTGAGAGACTTAAATATTAACAATGAAGAAATTGGTAAGTGTACAAGGATATGAACGTTTCGCAGTTTGCAAGTAGAAGTGTCAAAATTGTGGAACAACATAAAATGGCAAAGAAATAAAAACTACCGTCTAAAGCACGCGCAAACAAATTTGGTCAAACAAATAAACTTTAAATAGAAGGTTTTAAAGTTCGCATCCTGATATGTTCAGTGACTGTTTAAACGTATTGGAAAAAACGAACCTAGGCAGAATTTACTACTCTAAACTTCACAATCAACTACTGGATATGTTCCACAAGGTACTGCAGTACTCTATTTGCCGTCTCGATTATTCTTAATTAGATGAGCAATGCAGCTGTGATGCTGCACAGTGCGTAACAATGGATGTCGGAGCAGTTCGATTGCTGTAGCACGCTGGGTCGGATCTTTCACTACACATCGACTTAGCATGTGTGCAAGTTCAGGAGATACCTAAATAAAATGTCACAAATGAAAATGGAGCCTTGCTAGCCTGTTATACATTTTTGGCAGAATATTACAACTCCCAATGAGGGCTTTGAGTGTTAAATAGCGATCAACGGTGACAACAGACTCAACCATGCAAGGAACCCAATACAAAAACCTGCGGAAGCCAAAAATCCACTCAAGAAAACGACAGCTCAGCCTAAATTGCTCGTCACCTATCAGTAATCTACCAGCTACAAAGTGTTGAATGTTGGCATCTATGTTGAAATATTAGAAAAACCTCCGAGTCTGAACAGTAACAAGCACGCACACGGAGAATTCTCAGAGCTCTCACACTCGGTGCGCTAGCATGTGATGTCAGACACTATCGAATTTGAACACTTAAAACCAGTTATCAATAACGCCATGGCAGTTTCGCTGGAGATAAAACTACACACGAACACGCCATGATAGTTGACTCGTTCATGACACATACGAAATTCTTCATAGATGTCGATGTTAAAACCATTTTTAAACAACCCGACCACTCATGTAGCAGAAAAAAAGTTGACAGGAAGCAAACAGCATGAAGACATTTTGCAAGGAATAAGTCACACAAAATACAACGCATCTTTGCCAAAAAAAGAAACTCGATCTCAAAATGCCATTGGTATTGTTGAAGCAGCTCATCTACTTATCTTGTCGGCAGTAAAGAATACATCCTACAAGCTCTTTCAACGACATCCGATCAATATATACAGTGACTTGGCCAGAGTCAAATAAGAAACAAAGCATTTCCACGCAAGATAACCAGTCGGTAAGTTTTTAAATTGTTCGATACAACTGCTTTTTCCTCAGCGTGTGGTAAGTTGATAAAACTTAACACATTGCACAATTTCATTGCTGTACACACAGCCTATGCAGCCGTTGTGTGAAAGATCCTTTAACAATGGAATGACCATATTCCGTAGGTCTTGGAATCCACCGAATGGTTTGCCGCCTCATCATGGTGGGGAGGTGTTCCTGGGTGTCGGGTTGCGATGTACACGTGGGAATTCATCTCCTCGACTGGGTCCGCCATGCTGAGGCGTACGGCGTTTCCACCAGGAAGTCCAGTAAACCAATACCAGGATCTGCAATAAACTCCGAAAAATGGAGACTATGCTGGAGCACTCACAAGCACTGAGGACGGGCCATCCAAGTATCCAAGTAAAAAAAAGTAGTAAAACGGTGGAAAACACATTTGAAGGTTGATAGTATTATAGAACGCATGTAATACCCCTTCAAGCACAACCAACTAGAAGTTGATTCAAAGCGTTTGGTAACACCTTGCGGAACGGCTGGAATTTTCTTTATGGTCCAATTCTAACAATCATAGTAACGAGTGAACCTAATTAAGCAAAACTACTATTGCTAAAAGAATACAAGAAGATGAACAAATGTGAATTGTTTTGTGTTCTAACAATATTTTAACCCGATGTTTTTCTTCAATAAGCAGGCACGAGGTTGCTACTATGGAATTTATTAGGATACAGCAGCTGACGTTTCGGCGGTTTCGCCTTCTTCAGAGCCGTTTATTTGTTGTCAGTATTTAGGTTAGTTGATGGAGATAGCAGCTGCACAGAGTAATACATTGACGATAACTGAGTTATCTTGTTGAAGAAAAACATCGAATTATCAATCAATGCCGGAGTTAACAGAAAGTCGGTCTTGGAAATAGGTTTTTCTTTCTCTGAGCTGAAAAAGTAACCTAAGCCTATCATTAGCGGCTGGTTTGGTTGGTCAGAATCAAAACGACGATTGGTTCCGCTAAGAGTGAAAAAAGTAATATGAAATGTTTTGCCTACGTGTTGTTCACAACGCACCCTCCAAAAATCCAAAATATGTCGGCGGATGCACAGCTACATGACTCACGCATTCGATATGGACTGTCCTAGCCAACCACAGTGATGTTGAGATTCATTCTCATGCACTTGTTGATCCATTATTGACTCGTTTTTGCCGCTTGTTTTGCTACGCAGATCATTTCTGCCAAATGTTTTGTAATCACTAGGTAGCTCATACACTACTCAAATTGGAGGATGCTGGCCACGAAAATCTCTATAGAGATATACAAGGAATCTTTTTTCGGACTAGTTCGTAGGGCTATTTCAATACAGTCGAGGGTACTGGCATGTCTGCTGTACTTGCTTAATGAAACCCAGATCTTAGGAGACTTTATCGGCAGTATAGGATGTCACTGAAGATACCTATGAGGAGATATGTCTGTAGTACGTAGAGAGACTACATACGTGTACTATGTGCGAGGCAGACATCACAATGGTAGTGATGCCGATCATCACGAGCACTGTCAAACAGCAGATGAAGCCGCACGTAAAAGTTGGAAGACCTTCATGAATGGTGGACGCGAGGAAACGAATCGAATATGAGAACTGCTGGCATCCGCACAGTAGACAAGAACACGGGTCGAATAGAATGGAATAAATAAAATTATCAATCGAATTATCAATCAATGCCGAGGTTAAAAGAAAGTCGGTCATGGGAATATTTTAACCGTTGAGAAAGAATACAATTAGCTGAACTTACATTGGCTGTTGGATTAAACTTTGGCGGCGGGTTATCACGAATCATTTTCATTGCCTAAAGTCACTACTTTATAAAAGGACAATATGATGGTTTAGAAACAAAGGAAAACGCTACATACTAGTGAACAAAATAAATTTTGACTAAAGTTCATTACAATTCGACATAATCTACCATTTTAACAACAAGGATGACAATCGCACAAGGAACGAACTAGCACACAACATACCTGAAACATTCAATGTTTTCCTTCAATAAGCAGACACGAGGTTGTTAATATATAATTTATTAGAATACAATAGCTGACGTTTCGGCGGTTTCGCCTTCTTCAGAGCCTGGAAAGAAGGCGAAACCGCCGAAACGTCAGCTATCGTATTCTAATAAATTCTATATTAACAACCTCGTGTCTGCTTATTGAAGGAAAACATTGAATTATCAATTAACGCCGAGGTTAACAGAAAGTCGGTCTTGGGAATACCTGAAACAGTTCTTCGTTAAAGAGTGGTGGTTCCCCTTCCACCATTTCAATGAGCATGATACCAAATGACCAGATATCAGCAGCAGTACCATACGGTTGTCGAGCAATCACCTAAAACAATTAGCGTCCTTTTTCTTGTAAAAACGCATAAATGCTTTAGCCATTGTGGGTGCGTGCTGTAGGCATCACATAGATCTCACATCACCAGCAGTGATAAAATTGGCATAGCCCGCCTGACTAAGAGCGTGTTAAGCTGGGCTATGTCAGGTAATATTCCTGTTACATCACATCATACGTTATCACTGTTATAAAAAAATAAATCTCTTGGCGTTGATCAGTTCCTGAGGGGTGCACCATGCATTCGACTTTCTTAAGTATCGTTGGAGCTGATTGAATGCATATCTGGCCTTTACAATGACTCGCGGTGGTATACCGATGTACCGAGCCAGTGCTACTATCCTCCCAGACAAGTCTGGTACCAATTTGCCGAGCCCGGAGGGTTGGAAGGCTTGATGGGCCATAGGTGTGGGGATCGATTCCACGTGTGTTGCAGGACGCCTCCGGCCACTGCACCACACGTACCCATTATCACCTTTACATATACATGAGTATTTATACATATACATGTATATATGTCTATTTACTTATTTATATATCAAAAACGGCTAACCTCAGCAGCAGTCCAGTACGGTGTACCCACTAAAGAACGTCTTCGTGGAAATTCGTCCGATAAATGACCGCAAAAGCCGAAGTCAGAGATCTGAGATGGAAAAACGAATATTATCTTTTATCAACCAAGAGTGTAAAATATAACAGTAACTGATTACCTTGACTGTCCCATCACGTCTCAACAATATAGAATCACTTTTAATATCCCTGGAAGAAAAAAATGTCTGAAAAGTGAAACCTAGTACAACAATTTCTGAAACAAAAACAATTTTAACAATTACAAAGAAAAGAAAGATCAATGTGGCCATTTCTTCACCTATGAATAACTTGTCGCGCATGAAGAAACTCCAGACCTTTCAATACCTGTTGTGAGACAGTGGCGATTTGCGCTTCAGTCATCCTTAAAATCAACATTTTACTTCTAAAAACTAGGTTGTTGTGATAAATGATAAAACCGGACTTAATGCTTCTATGAAAAATACTCGCATTCGTGAATTAGAGAAAATAAGAATAATATTGAGGCACTCGTAGAAAATGTAGATGTTTTTGACGATAAATTTTTTGAAAGCGACTAATCTCATTAATGCTCAATATGGAGAACAAAGTACACATCCAATAAGAACAAAACCAACCTTGTTTGTGTAACAATATCAGTTAGGGATCCACCTTCCATATACTCCATGACTACCCACAATTCATCACCAACAAGATGAGATGAGAACATGCGCACAATATTTGCATGTTGATAGTCACGCATTATCGATACCTATCATAAAAGCATTGAATAATAAATTTAAGAATATTGTAAAAACATCAAAAATCCGATACTTCGTTAAACAGGAGTTCTCGACGCTGCTGTTTTCGTAGATTCATTCGTTTCACGGCAACTGTTTGTCTAGTCGACTTCTAAAGAAAAAACTGTTTGAAGCACCTACCAGCTACTTCTTGCGGCCGATTTCAAGCATGGTGTCTACTAAATTTTCTAATGCATTTCGTTTCGTTTTTTGGAAGTCTCTGTTGTAAGCCTGCTAACACATTCGCGACAACGTGACTTGATTTCAACTCCTACGTAGGAAAAGGGCAATTAGCTAGCGTGATTGATTTCAACCAGTTCAAATCACGTCTCTCGAAGAAGACTCTTTGCCAGCATTGTATATACATATACATGTATATATATATATATATATATAATTCTGGATATTCTTGTTGAGCAAGGACGAGATTCTTAATATTCTTTTTGAACAGACGTGAAAGAAATAAAACGAATGAGATGAGCACACAATTTTTTCACAATCAGCTTGAGAAGTACGATTTTGCCAGATCCGAATTTTACTATGTATATCTCCTACCTTGCTCGTCGAGTCCCTAGAGCGAGCAGAACCCACTGGGCTACTCTTGCAAGCGACAGGGGAAAATGGGAGATTTACTGGCGCCCTCTCGAGCCACTCGAAGATCAACGGGATTACAGGTGACTATAGGTGACACGTGATATCTCCTACCTTACCTTATGAAAAACAAACCTTATAAGCCGCAAAAACGATACCAGTTGAACCTTCGCCGACTATTGTGAAGTTAGTGAGATCTGTCTGTGGATCCCTTCGATCAACGACACACGATAACGCGACCCGAAACTGTAGTCCAAACTCATACATCATGTCCAAATAAAAGTAGTGTAAATAGCTGACCTCATCATAACCGACACCTTCGTTTGAAGCCTTCTCAGGAGATGTTATGGATGAAGTTACTGTTGAATTAGGCGAAATCTGAGTACTACAGTTTTTCAAATTTAAAAAAATCTGAAAAATACTTAAAAACCTTTACTATTTGAAATTATTGACTTTACTGAGCTAAATAATGAACCTCTTCCGCTTTTTTCTACTGATTTACATTATCTATCCATTAGTGAGTTCAAAACAAATGTCGTATACAACGACAATAGGGATCGTATCACAAAAAAGAAAAAACAACAGAAAATCCAACCACTCCACAGTGAGCATTGTAGGAGTCTGTGCTCTGGTTCCATGATGGTGTACTTGTCAGATGGTCACATTTCGAAGGAGTACTTTGCTCTGTATAACTCGGAGACACTAGGCGAGCAGTACTTTGTTGACTATACTCATCGCAAGACTAAAAATAAACTTCTGGTTGATTTAGGGATCACAATGTTAACCTTTTATTTTGTGCCTAGCATACTTTTTCACGGCAGGGTATGATGTGAGATAAAATCACAACGATGCTGAGATATTAGCAAAACTTGGGCCCTTGGCAAGATCGAACCATGATTTCCCTCTCCGGGTACTCACGCATTACACACTGCAACATGGAGGCCCTTGCTCTGCGTTTCTCTCAGCTAGTTTTCTATCTAACGCTGCCATCAGCAAAAACCACATCAATCTCGTTGACGGGTGCTTGCGGATGGCAATCTTAGGTAGAAAACTAGCTCAGAGAAACGGAGAGCAAGGGTCTTCGTGGTGCAGTGTGTAACATGCGAGCCCTGGAAAGGGTAATCGTGGTTTGATCTGGTTCAAAATCCAAGTTTTGCGATTATCTCAGCATCGTTGTGATTTAGCGATCGTTCTCTGAACGTTTTCTATAGATGAAACTCTTCAAGAGCTATTTATTTCAATCCTTGCGGATTGAAGTTTCATTTATTTTTTTAAAGCATTCTTGTCCTTTTTTCAGCATAAATATGTTAAGAACATCCTCCGTGTATAGAAAATAGGTACTATTACACATTACTATAATGAAGAAAATATCACAGACATTTATGAGTTCCATAAACCTATTTAATGCAACATTTCCAAATCCAAGCCATAGCGTATTTTCAAAAACATGGGACTATATTCCTAATCTCTTCATTTTTACCTTATTATGTTATAAGATCTTATAAAATCCTTATGTTATAATAAAGATCTAGTAAGCAATATATGCGGAATTCATCGACGCCAAAAAATTCGCTTCATTCTTCATCACTCTGAAGTAATGGAATGAGGAGAAGCTATTCAAACCATGAATGCACATTGACGAGCGAAACAGATTTCGTGCTTTACCTCTATCCTGTTTTCGTAGTACACAAATAATTAACCAGTCGTCTTACCAATACACTCCAAACTTCAATAAAAAGTGAATTCGATTTAGAGACTCACCCTATCACAGCCAAATGTTGTAACGGTGGGTAGTTTCAAAGGAAGCGGAGCATAGTTTGGATCATTGAAAGGGTAACCATGAACTTTCACCGGTGATTTCACTGAAGGTGGTCGTAACGCAGTTGTCGTCGTGCTGAACAAAACACAACAGTGAACAACTCAAATCCATTGCCATAATAAAATCCTCAACAGTTTTCCAGCCCATTGTGCATAGGGATGTTCATAGACACCCAATGAAGGAATGAAGGAATAGAAAGTGGAGAATTTTTTCACCAAAGAGAACCACGTACGTCGAAACGCAACTCGATATCTCCTTCAGAGACGAAACTATGAGTAGACTTATACCATATATAACCGCTTTTCTGGTCCAAAACTCACTTTAATAACTCTCTTACATCATCCCAGCGCTCAGTGTATGAATGAAAGGTGAGCTGACATCTCAACTGTGTTTATAATTTTACTCATTCACCCATAGAGGAATGATGTCTTCTAAATTACGACGGATATACCCTACATCAAACCGCACAGTTCAGAAATAAGAATGTATGCCGTATTTGAAACCCAGGAAAACACAATTGAAGGAGTGAAGCTTTGAAGAGAAATATGGACGATGTATGGACCAGAATAGCAGAACGAGGATGAAGGCGTCCTTTGCGGTGATCATCTACGAAATGAGTGGTTGTACTTCCAGATCACATCTAGCAACTATGTTCGCAGCTGTCAAGGATTTCTGGCTCATGAAATGACAATAGAAGTTCATGTCACAGATCAGCATGACAGACAACTAGAGAGAAAGAGACGAATGAAGAACATGATGGATTTTGGATAACTTATGAAGAAGAGTAAATCAAGTAATCACCGAAGTGCGAAAGTATGGAAGACAATGAACTGAGATTGTAGAAAAGAAGAAACTTTTAGAGTAAGGTCTTCGTCTTACCATTGCCCACTTGGGAAAAGAAAAAGGTCTGCCTCAGAATGAATTTCTATAAAACAAAAGTATGAACCAGCTTACTATAGGCTGGAACCATCCAACTCCGTGGCGTTCTCACGTGTTCGCGTGGTAGTCAGCCGAAGACTGTTACTCCTAGCTACCGTAACACAATGAAACGAAGTATTCATGCTGGAAAAGAAGCCTGTACTTCTGAACGATTCTGTGCATTTTGACAATGTCCACATGCCTCACTTTTGCATTTTGCTCTAGTCAGGTAAAGACTGCTTCACTTTTGGCTTACACAGATGACCAGTACATTGAGGAGAGAAAAAAAACCAGTGGAAAAAAAGCAGAAAATCACAAACTTTAGAAAGAAGCCATCGGTGGAGTACAGAGATTCCGGATCATTTCAGAAGCGCTTAGAGTTTTTGAGTTTTAGGAAAAAAGAATGGAAGCTCTAAGTTCCCCACGTTACTTTGTATCTGAGCAAACTATTATATTGTCAATGGTTTTAATGGCATATCATTTTGTAATATAAAGTGAATGAAATGGCGAAATAAGGGTAGAATATCTCCCTACAATTTTGCTTCAACAGGCAATAATTAGTTGAACAGATATTTCAAAACAGACTTACCTGGCATAAAATCTGCAGCACTTAAATGATACGATTTGACATAGTGAGAAATATTTATGGTAGAAAACAGAAAAGATGTTAAGTAGAAATGTTTGAAAACTCTCCTACCTTGAACCCGCCCCTCTAATAACAGTTTTTAATTCCGCTATATCAACAGGAGTAATACACGACGGATCAACAATTGGTCTCGGACGTCCGTTCAACGACCGTGGCGGACCCAACAACGCTTGCCATTGCTTAATCATAGAAGATTACATTCAAATCATGAGAACATATTAAAAATCAAATGTGTACGAGAACACAGGAAACACAACAGCAGTTGCGCGGATAGCACAGTAGTAGTGATCATTACGAGTATGGTGTTGGTTTCATCTCATTGTGGGCTCACCAATCCTCTCATTCCTCCAGGGTTAGGAAATTGGTACCTGCTTTTCCTGGCAAAATTCACTCTCTGTAATCCAACTGGAAACACTCTAGATCGGTTATTTCAGAATTCTTGGGAAAATTGGTTCGACCAGCAACTGGCTTCAATGAAATTCATGATGGAAGGAAAACCCCCAAACAGCAACCGAAACCACACGTGGAACTTGGAAGACGTTTGTGGATGACGGATACGAGGAAATGAAGCGAATGTGAGAAGTGTTAGGATCTGCACAGTAGATGTGGAAGACGGGTCGTATAGAATGAAATAAAAAAATAACTGAAAAACAAAGGTACAACAATAGTGAGTCCAAGCCCATCATGACTGCATTGGAAAGGATATCTTTGCTGTTTATTATTTGTCATAATCAATCCTACAAAATGCCAAGCCGAATCTATTTACTCACTCCTACTCGTCTTCAATAATTTTACCAAACTTCATGAAGAAACTCTGGGACCTTTCCACGCAAGAGGTGGTTGAATTCCTGATCCTTCTCTACTGTTTCCAAAGGTTTTTCAAGCTAAAAAAATGGTTAATTTACAGCACACCTTTGGTAATCCTGTGTACGTTCCAGTCCTAGCATCATAGCCAGCATGTATTCGATGCTCGAAATTGGATGGCGTTGATATCTCAGATTTCTTCAGCTTCTTTCGCATAGAAAACGTACGATTCATGAAGAAAATGCCGATGCTATCGCTTGTAGCACATGAAAAGTCGTTCTGAAACATTAGAAATAAGTGTGACGATATAGCGCTTTTCCTCAGTAACAGGGCTTAAATTGGTCCTGTCTAGAACGCCTGAACAAAAGAGCAGATAGTGCCGTTAATAAAAGCCAATAGTACGATACCATATAGCAGACAGAAATTGGAAATGGAAAGTCAGAAGAAGTGGTGAAGTATGACCACGAACATTTAAGCTCAATGTAAGCACTAAGAGACCAGAGGAGTGATACTTACTGCTAATTACTACATTGATTTAAATAATGGCACTTTGTGTGATAACAGCATAACTGGCTATATGGAGGACTTCTTCAAAAATCAGCCAGCTAATCAATCAATCACTCAATCCATCGATTAGTCAAAGCCAAAGAAAAAGGCTGAGAACGACAGGAAAAACTTCTGTAGCATCAAGCACAAAGTAATGGAATTGCCTGAACCTGAAATGCAATGGGAAAAGTCCTAATCGTAAAAGCTACAATATTCTTCCTAAGAAGTAGAAAAAAATTAAATCTGGGTTATTTCACGGCATTTTTAGGCTATAACACTAAAAAATAGATAGTCATTTTATCTAAATATCATTTTAAACGCTCGTTTGACAATTACTGCTATACCACTTTCAAACTTTGTTTCGAAACAGTAACTATGAAACTTCTACGAGGTGTTTGTAGGATGGAAAAGAGAAGAAGAAGAAGAGGAAAACAGTATCCAGAAAATCATGGACGACCTCTGATGGCTATACCACTTTCAAACTTTGTTTCGAAACAGTAACTATGAAACTTCTACGAGGTGTTTGTAGGATGGAAAAGAGAAGAAGAAGAGGAAAACAGTATCCAGAAAATCATGGACGATCTCTGATGTGCACAGAGTCAACTCGAGCACTTCGCGCAGTTGTCAAATTGGTCATAACTATATCGATCGACGCGCCCAGACCGACATAACCTGGTTTTGTTACCGTGCAATTTCTTTGGAAGTTTGCTGAGTTTACCTAATGGGGATTAGCCAATCTCTCGAGTACTAAGTAATAATATTGATCGAAGAAGATCAAACATATGAAATATTCCATCGTGATCTATAATATGTTGTGTTGCCTAAGAAATCACCGCTTTTAAATGAAATGGTCCATAACAACTTACTGTACTCTTCTTCTTTCTGTATTTGCTAAACGTCACTCATTTTCTAGAAAATAATTTTAATGACAACGATTTGAACATGAGTAAGGTTATATATAAATGAAGCGTCACGAATACACAGTAGACAGAGTATAGATGTAGTGTTACTGGAAATGGTTTTCATCGTTGATCAAGCAGAAAACCAGCGAGGATTCTTCTCTCTGGAAGTTGAGATTCTTTGAAGACTTGCACATCTTCAGTCATAGGCAAAATCACATCCGATTTCTTCCAAAGTTTAAAGTCGTGTGAACTGTATGCACTGAAGAACGAAAGACAAAAGTAGAACGTCAGGCACGGTCACTTTTCCTATACTTTCTCGAAAATTTGAAAGTTTGGATGGAGCTCATGTTTTTGAGCCAAAAGCATTGCAACGGTCACTTTTCTGCCTGGATCACATTGAGACCGTATCTTGGATAAAAGAAATCTGTTGGTAATATCACCTACCCTCTTCTCCTAACTTTTGTATGCTATGGAAAACGGTTTGACGGTGCTGGAACGAATCTCTTTTTATGAGCTGTGTCCAACTAAAGAGTAAATCCAAGGGCTAGAGACTAAATGAGGATTTCAACTGCTATTTGGGTCATGGATTAGTGTGTGTATATTTTGAGTTTTTGATAAGTTCTTTGAAGACTTATGAGTTGACAACCGTTGTCCATGTCGCTATTTTTTTTTATTGTAGTAACGCATTCTCTCACATGCTATATTTAGTTAGAATCTTCTGGACGGAGTATGTTCTGTGCTACCCGATGCGCATCAACTACACCAGACCTCAAACTTGAGTTGCCAAACCTCCATAAACGTCTGCCTGTAAGTATTACCACAATGAGATCACAACGAAGTCAGTGATGTGGAACGATTGCATGAAGCAAAACAGTATTTTTCTACCGAATCAACCAAAACAGCCCAATAAAGTACTGATTATTAGTACTGAGGTTAAGTGACGATCGGTTTGAAAAACATTGTTTTGCTATTCTCTGCTTGCTAGCTAGCGTAATACCGACAGTTCCAGGAAAAATTATCCGTTGAATAACTAATTATTATCAATGGATAGTTATATCAACGACAACCGTCCTCTATAAAAGGCAGCTGCCCACCGAGATTGCCTCGTTCGAGCGATGCTTCACTAAAGAATATCCGACTCGGTACGACGATGAAGAAGTCACACCGAGAAGACGAACAACGTGGACCATGGACTCATATCATCAACGGCTCTGAGGAAGACTAAGACGTCGAAACGTTAGCCGAATAAGCATCTTTATCAACCTCCTGTTAGCTTAACAATGTAAGAAGATTTCATGCAGATCACAGCTCAGGTAGAGATTATCGAGTCTGTGAAAATCGAAAGACTAGTGAGCAGCAAGGACCAAGCAACAAAGCATGGATAATTTGACAAGAAGACGGCGACCCTTACTGTATGGCTCGAAGTGGACATAGGTTACTGTAAGAGTAGTGACTCATTCCCAGTTATTGTTTTCATAAGGTTGCAGATGTTAACAGAAAAAGAAATTACAAAGCCCTCTGCAGCTGTTGCTTTTGCAAGTGTGCAAGTGTTAACATTGCAAAGGTCGGATGTTAAGAAGTGATTTGTAAATAGTACTAGAGACCAAAGAAAATAATCTCTACAACATGAAAAGTATTCCTAAAGAATATTCCATACTTCATGAAGAATATGCTATATACTCTATAGGATTTTAGTGCATTGCTCTAATTCGTTACCACCCAAAAACCACATCGACGATGCGTTATGACATTTTTCCGAGAATGGCGAATGCGAAGACGTTAACTCTACAGGGTCTTTAGCTTACCTCATTTTATCCCATAGACATAGGGGCCAATGCGCTAAAATACATGACCTATTTTAGAAAACCCGGCGTGAAAAAGAAATGATGTAGACTTGTGAGTGGTAGCGCAGAAGTCTGCACACTGACGAAATAACTGATATGCTTAGTGATGATTTGTTCTGAATTTGTCTCCACATCCAGATGTCATAATAAAATCAGTTGAGAGGTTTTTAAATTATTTCAATGTTGAATGCTGAATCTCGTCCGTTCAAAACAGGTGGTGACGTATAATACCTATACCAGACTATACTAGCATCCTTATTATTTTAACATCAATGGCACGCAATCGTCCTTGACCCATATGGACCATAGGGACAATCTTGGAAAAGCTCCACCTCAGTCCGAGATCCGTACGTTCCCGTCTAGCAAAAACATCTCGTAAGTGGCACATAGAAGTTTTCCCACCAATCACAAGTTATTATGAAATACGAATCATGCATCTACTACAATACAGAACATTCGCACACTAAAGGATAAAAAGGATTAAGACCTTGGCGTTGATCAATTCCTGAAGGAAACGCCATATTCGACTTTATTAAGCATTATTGGAGGTGATTGAATGCATATCCAGTCTGTACAATGATTCGGGTAACCTACCGATGTATTGAGCCAGTGCTGCTATCCTTCTAGACAAAACTCGCACCAATTTTCTGACCTCGGCGGGATAGAGGCTTGGTGAACCTGGGAGGCGCGATCGATCCCATGTGTATTGCACGGCACCTCTAACCACTACACTTCACGAGCCACCTTTTATACTTCACAATTCACAACAGACAGCTTATAGCAGACGTTCGCTTGTGGCGAGAAGTCGTGTGAGTATTCTTCGCTTGCTTTACAAAGAAAAATGTTGCCGACGAGCACATTACTGGGATGTCCACACCGTACGAGTACAGTTCACGGTTGCTACAGAAATAATCCGTCCTTCTACGTCATGAACTACGAAAATCAGGAACTTTCGTGCATTATAAATAGTGTTCACGCAAAATGATATGTGCGTAGTCAAGTCTTTTGACGTCCTTTTCGATTGAGCGCGACAACAGGCGCAGCTGCCCCGCTCTGTTCTCGTGCCTCTCACGTGCTCTTTTCATCAGCGTTCCTGTTGATCACTCTTCGTGAAGTGTGAGAACGTCCACAGTGTTGTTTCATTTGACTCTTCATAACTCTCGGAAGCGATGGTCCGTGTCAACACCGAGTCACAACGTTGTATTGTGCTGAACATGGATGCAAACGGAGTGGCTCGACTGATTTTCGAGACTGATCGCCGTACGTTTACTGTGAGTTACTAGTTACAGTTTCCACGTATACTGTGGTTTGTTTTTCTTATGTTAGAATGAGGAGAAGAAGAATGAAATGAAAAGATGAAAGAATGGGTGTTGATTGTAGTTCTAATTCATCACCATTGCATTTTCAGTTATTCTTTTTTAATGGGAACCGCTGTTAATTTTCTCATGGTTCCTTACGGAAACTTTACAGCAGTTCAAGTCACCTTGATTTTATGAGTGAAACCATACCATCATATTTTACTCATTGCTGAACAGGACTATCGAGAACCATCCCTTCATATTTTATGATTTACGGAACCTAGTGGAGTCAAAATGAAAGGGAACAGCGACGCTTCCCTGACTTGTGAAACACAGTGCTTCAGCTATTCTTTTTTTTTCTAAATTATTATTTTCCGAAGCTGCTAGATCGTAATTTCCACTTTGTTCCTTCTCAAAGTCCTGATTCGCTGTCTTCATGTCAAACATTTCAACTGCAACAGAACCACATTTCTAGGAATACTTTCGTTTTTCTACTTGTTTGGAACAATTGAATTCGTCTTAGATCTGCATCCAATTTACAGTAGGCAAAAAACATAAAGCGAGGATTGTTTAAATATAATGTTAAGCTTTAATTTTCCGCCCACTATAATTTTTCACAGCAGGGTATAGTGTGAATTACAACTACAACGTTACAGAGATATTCGCAAAACTTGGACTCCGGGCCAGATTGAGCCACGATTTCCCTTTCCGGGCTTGCGTACTACACACTGCACCACGAAGGCCCTCGCTGGGCGTTTTTCTCAGCTAGTTTTTTTACCTAACACTGCCATCATCAATCACCAGATCATTTCCGCTGACGGGTGATTGCTAATGGCAACGTTAAGTAGAAAACTAGCTGAGAGAAACACAGAACAAGGGTCTCCGTGGTGCAGTGTGTAGTGCGCGAGTCCCGGAGGGAGAAATCGTGGTTCGATCTGGCCTGAGGTCTAAGTTTTGCGAATATTTCGGCATCATTGTTTAAGTATAGTTCGAAACTTTATTAATTACATCTATTAATTTTCCGAATGAATGAAAACAAGAGTACGAACTAAAACCAAGTAAAGTCTAGATCTTCATTGCGATATCTCTTGGCGGTGCTTGCAAGCTTATGACTTTTTATTAAGGGTGTGGAGAATTACTCTATAAAATGGAGAATTCTCTACCTACCTAGCAAATATTCTGTATAATTGTGTAATTGTGCGTATTTAATAACGGAACTGGTTGTGGCCACACAGCAGAGGAAGTGAGCTGGGCGACACCATAAATGTAAAGGGTCACTGTTCTTCACATAACATGAATTTTTGGATTATTTGTTTCAAGGCGGCATTTAGGGTATTCTCGAGACGAGCAATGGCGAAACAATCTCCATCAATGGCAAAGTCACCGAAGGTGCTCCTGAACCGCACACATGTTCTGAGCCGTACATTATGGACATCTTCATAGGTATAGTCCATTTAATACTTCGTTTCAGATGCCTATATCGGGCCAAGCATCCGGAATCATTTTCCGGTCACGTCTTGCAGCCTCATAAACTCATTATAATTGTCGACTGTATTCGCTCTGTGTAAAGGCTGTGACACTTAATAACTTCGATTGATCGATTGCACTCCTAACGGTATGAGGAAATTGCGACTTCTTTTCGTAGTCCATAGATTAGAGTCTTATTCAAGAAAAATCGGCAAACGCATCTAATTTTATGACCCCTTTTCAAAATCAGTTTTATACTTTGGAAAACATTGCTTGTTAGCAAATTTTGTTAGGAGGAACTTTCCCTACTTTTGAGATTAAAATAGTACGTCACAAGTTTTTATGTCACCATTCGACTTTTTCTTGGCATTTTCGCAACCTACCGTTGGACTGTCATAACGCTCTTGGGAACTAGCATTCTACTTCGAAATAAGTGTCGTTATAATCAGTACATGCCAGTTTACAAATTCCATTCTCCCAAAATATGGTAGTCTAGCGTTTATGAAGTCTTTAAAGGTGTTTTTGATGTCCTGTTCACTTATGAAGGTTTTCCTTCGGTATGGATATTTGAAAAGAAGTCCACGGGCTACACGAAGTGGGACGATTTTCATACATTAACTATGTCACTACCTGAATAAGATCTGAATCTGTGAAGGAGTGAGTGCACACTGCTTAGTATCATAAGAGCCACAGGACTGCGTAGTACATAGTGCATTTTCCTCGGTTCTGTGTCCGGGTACACGAGTTGATTGTAGTTAAATTCTATCGTGATTGTATATCACATTGAACAAGAGCTCTATATTTCCGAACGCAATTTAACCACTCTTGTTCGAAGTGTGTATTGAGAGAGAACTCCTACATTTAGTCTGTTTACAAGTAGTGTGTTCTAGTCTCTCAAACCTGCTTCACGCTCCACTGGTAAGTTTCCAAATACTGATTTTAGAACGTTTAAGCTGACAACGCAATTCCATCTGAATCTTTTAGTATGTATTGAGATAAGAAAACCGTCGTTGCCATCGTAGTATTCTTTTATTCTTGTCAGGAACTCACTTTTCCAAATTCTTCTCTGGATAAAACTAAGTTGTTTGTGAAACAAAATGGAACTAGAGTCTTGGAAAAGTTACAATTCATTGTTTTATAGTTGACGGCGAAGCTGGTTCATCCTTCAAGCTAAGTTCTGTCCACGTATTCATGAACGATCTGCAGGTTTCAATCGAAAACCCAGCGATCAAATTTTCCACTGAGCAGCGATTTATCGGAGCAAAGTGAGCGAGTCTTTATTTCTTATTCATCTTGTATCTCTTTACTTTTGTGAAAGTGAAAAACTAGTAATTTCTGGGACATATATGGGTGGTCAGAGGCGCTATGCAATACACATGGGATCGCCACAGAGTCTCCAAGACTTCCACTCCTCCTGCGTCGGCAAATTGCTACCAGACCTATCTAGCAGGATAGCAGCATTGGCTCGGTAGATCGATAGGTCACCGAGAATCATTGTACAGGTCAGATATGCATTCAGCCCCCTTCAACGATGCTTAATGAAGTCAAATGTATGTCGCATCCCTCAGGGATTGATCAGTGCCGAGAGCTTTAACCTTTATATGGGTAAGTTTTTGCATTGAAGTTTTCATTCTCTCAAACAGATGAGTGGTGTTCGTTATCTATTGGACACGCACACCGTTTAGTTAACCTTATCACATTGCATAGAGCACGGTGCATGGGAGAAGATGCAATAAACATCTAAGTGAGATTTTCCTACTGCATTTGTTATTTATTCAGTTGCAGAGCGGATGTCGTTATTCAGCAATATATGCAGCCAAGTATGACTGATGACAAAAAGGAGGTCTACGTTGGACCAATGAAAGTGAGTCTAAACATCGCGAGCTATCAAAACAGCATAGTAGAACCTGCAACACAAAGTTGTTCTATTTGCTATGTGATACCATATTTGTTGCGTCCATTAAACCTTGGTCCTTGCGCTGCATATTCATGTTGAGGTGGTGAATACGTTTATTTGATGTCTATTCGTCACAGATTAGAGGTTACAATCGTCTTCTGGTAATATTTAGCACATTTGCGTTGACAAGCTAAAGGATAAAGGTCTCAGCGTTGAGCAACCCCTGGGGATGTGAATACGACCCGACATGTGATGCAATGGTCGGAGGCGCCCTGCAACACACATGTGGAACCGATCCCCGGGCCCATGGCCCACCAAGCCCTTCAGGGCCAGCAGATTTGTACCACACTTGTCTAACAGGACAGCAGCAGTGACTCGATACATCACTAGGCCACCGTAAGTTATTGTAAGTTATTGTACAGGCTAGATACGCATTCAGTCACCTGTAACGATGCCTGATGAAGTCGAATTCATGGAGCATCTCTCAAGGATTTGTCAACGCCGAGAGCTTTATCCTTTAGCTTATTGACGCGAATGTATGGAATAGTATCAGAAAACGACTGTTACCTCTGGTTTGTGATGAGTATTTTTGAGTATTGGTTCGCGTCGATATGCATTGTTATTAATGGATACTTGTGTACGTGCCATAAAAAAGGTGATTGGAATGTACCATTGTGCACCTTATTCTAGAGCATTTCTTTTCCCGCGAGAACTATGTCTGTGGTGTATTTTTGTACGAACTCAATAGCGTTTCTAGCGTAGATACTATACTGGGCAATGTCCTATAAAAAGTTCCGTGTAAAGGCTATAGTTTACAAAAAAAAAATCGTTTTAAACGAGTTCCGATGGATTCAGAAAGGATTCACCAGTTCTTGTGCGGTAATTAAGACTGACTGCGACCAACGTAGAATATAAGAAGTCTATAGTGCAAATTTGCGAATATAGGAGTCGTTCAGGAGTTCCTTCCCTTGTTGTACAGATATAGCGCCTTAAAAGATTGCTAGTAAGGAATACTTGATGTCTCTGCATCAGCGGCGATCTAGTGGCAAGCATTTTGTATGCGAGTAGGGACTAGATATTGTCATTACTGTGTGAATACCCATCATTAAACAATGTCTTCACTGATAGGAAGTTCTTTTTTCCATAAGTCTCCTGTAACCCACATTTGTTTCACGTGAATAAGACTTTAAATGCAATATTTTCTGTTACCTGATTTTGTACATCTACTGAGGAGAAATTCCCCACTATTTAGCTCTTTCTGATGGCAAACGAAAACCCGCCGGAGTCAATACGACGCCCGTCCATGTGTGAGCGCGGAACTATCTTAAAACAATCCGATGACTTCTTTGCTTAGTTTTTTTTCCAACCGCTTATGTGACGTATGGGTTCACCAGTAGTGGACAGATTTATAATTCCACATTCACAGATTTCATAACTTTATCTGAACTCTAGAATCTCACCAGAGCTCTATCACGTATATTCTCTTGATTCAACAAGGCAGAATGGAAGTAGCTACTCTTCCAGAAAATATAACGTCACTTAGTCACTTGTTTTATTTCATACCGAATCAAGAAAGTTAAGCAATATATGACTGGTCAACATTATTACTCTCGTTTTTGTTTTTGTGCTAGCACCTATTTACCTCTTATTATTAAGCCATCTCAAGTACTTTCGTGCACTTTGTACCGATTGTATTTGGTTAATGTAGCGTATTACAGTAAAGTAAACATGCAATACTTTGTTACTGATGTTACTAACTAGACGCAAAGGACAACCGTTCGTTATTGATTAATTAAAATCCCAATTCTTTCGTTACTGGAGAGGAACACTTGCAATGAAGCACAAGTTGTCCCAGTACTAGTGTTGTTATACTCGTACTATTCTTCGACATGACGTGGTTCCAGTACATTTAGACTATTCGGTAAGAGATTGGATACTTGTTTAGCATTAGAATCACCCATCGATTGCCGATATTCACGTTGCTCTTGGACTGATGAATTTAGATATGGTATCGGCTTTGACTTCGGCATCAATTCTTTCTCCGCAAAATATCCTATCGTCCCTATAACTGCTGCCACGGGTAGCACCAGGTAGTACGAAAATCGAGTTCCTGAAAGTTAAAGAATATTTTGGATGATCAAGGATATTTCAGCATTAAGGTCCACGAAATAACAGTTCACCAGTTCGTCTTGAATATTGGAACAACTTCGACTGAAGTGAATCAAGACTTACAATATGCATGGCCTCTTGAATACCTCTAACAATGGTTTCATCTCGCCTCAATATTTTAAGTTGTTGTAGCAGTAGTACGACGAAACGAAACGAGATAACATAAAGCTCTCAAGGATATCAACCAACATACTTGGACACTTGGATATCTGGATGGCCCGTCTTCACTGGTTCTGCGTGCCCCAGCAAATTTCCGTTTTTTCGGAGTTTTGCTGGTTTAGCTATTGTTGTTCTCCGGAGTCCTAGCCCCGCCAAAATTTGCCCGGGTCGTCACCACCACAAGCAACCGCCGCCCTTGTGGAACAGAGGGAGATTTGCCACCACGTGACTAGTTTAATACCAGGGTTGGTGGTCAATTCTGGTATTGGTTTACTTTTGCTTGGGTTTCCTAAAGGAAACGCCAGACTCCTTCTTAGTTTGGGAGACCATGCCAGTGAGATGAATCCTCCGCTGTACATCGCAGCTCGACACCAAGCAACACTTCTCAGCCAGGATGAAGCCGTGGACCGTTGAGAGGATCGATCTACATACCACACATATGGAACAAACGATTATTTTTCACTTGATTGCACATCTTCTATCTGTACAGGGTTTTTAAAGCAATGGTTATGGGAGTAGGTCTTGAAAGTCACCTTCCTTCAGCTCAATATCTGTCCGAAGGAAAACAACTAACAATTACCACCGAGTTCTCCCTAACATAAAGTTGCGCAATATACAGTTTATCAACTCGAAAACATGTTGGACACCATACCGTCATTCACATTTCTGAACTGAGCTTTCTCAGGAGGAAACACTGTGCTTTCTTATGATACTCCTCGAAATAAAAACAACACGGAAACAAATGAAGTCACTGCTTTTCAAGGAGAACACGTCTAAGAGAACCTCATAACGGAGAACTTCAAAGTCACAATTCTACCAGAAGGATTATGTTCTCCAGTGTGTAGAAACCGTTCCAGATTTTCAAATGAATTTGGATTTGGTGAGCACAAAACCCTCACCAGTCATCTTTCTGATACTTTGAATTTCGCCGAAAACTAGGATGAAATGGGTAAGTTGAAACTGTTGTAAAGCGAAATCGGAAGGGAACGCCAGGTAACAGAGTTACAGGGGATCTATAGGTGAACCAGAAATCGTGATTTACTTTCCATTTGCTAATATAAACCTTGTAATTCACTTCAGTTGTCTGTCGCCCTATGATAGTGAGAGCATGGAGTGTTTCTCGGCGTCGAACTATGCATCCATCAAAACAAAGAGCAGAATAAATAGCCAAGTAAATATTGGTAACAACCTCATGTTAGCTTATCAATGAAGCCAGGTACAAAGAGTAGTCTTTGGGATGAAAAAGAGTGCTACATTTCCAAACGGAAGCACAGCTAACTGTACATTAATATCGGGATTCCCTGCAATAGTGGAAGGAACCAAGTCGCAAAGCGATAAACTTGCCTAGATCCAGACGGCAAAGTCTACGCGTAACTACTGCGAGGCGTTGATAAACTTCCTTCTGTTAATCGAATGAGCGTGAGCATTTCAGCGCAGTAACTTCACAAAAAATCGAATAAATAGTGCACTTATTACTTCATTACGAGTTCATCTTCAGTTCCACTACAATCCATCCATGTATCTTTAGCTGATGGGGCAGGCATAAGGTTCCTACTGCTAACTCTCCTAAGCTGACCTAGAATATCAGCAGATGGAAATGTTTCTTAAATCGTGTAGTTTGCCGTTGATATCTTCCTTGTCCTTATCTTGATCCCTCATTACAACACAAATTAGCGAAGAAAAAACGTCCTTCACCGATCTCCTCATATTATTGGATAACTCAACCGCAATCGTGGAAAATACCGATACGTCTATGTGGTGGTATACAAATGTCTTACAAACCAAAGTTTTCAGTCCCTAGGTGGAGCGAATACATGCGTTGGGAAGACAGGCATATGTGAATACTTGGATCATCCGTCCTGATTGCGTGGGTCCCAGCAAAATTTCCTTTTTTTAGAGTTTTGTTGGTTTAGCCGTTATGGCTGCCTGAAGTTCCGAGCTCAGCCTGGCCAAAGTCTGCCCTAAGTCCTCACCGTCACAGGCAGACGCCGCCATTGTGGATCAGAGAGAGATTTGCCACCATGAGACTAGTATGGTACCAGGACATTGGTTGATCATGGTATTAGTTTACTGCTAGCTGGGGCACCTGACGGAAACGCCGGACTGTTTTTCAGTTTGGAAGACTCCGCCAGGGGGACGAATTTCTCCGCTGTACACCGCAGCCCGACACCCAGGAACACTTCTTAGCCACGATGAGGCGGTAAACCTTTGAAAGGAAGACAGATATACACTAGAAATAATGAAGAGCAATCAGCACTACTTACCTGCTGCGTAGATGATTGGCCACATATACACTCTCAACGCAACATGTAACCTATAAGTAAGGCAACTTTCATAAGGAACGTTAATCCACTGCATCCAGTTTTGGAAGAAAGCGTATGGTCACTGTTTTAAGATGAGGAGCAATAGGACAAGAAACGAGTAATCAAACGAAAGAACTTGACAGGACTGTGACACACAAGGAGGATGAACTACGGTTAGAACAACCAGTCACTTGTAATGATGTACCACCAAAAACAGATCAGACTAAAACATTTGTTCACCCCATTCAGTCCCGAAAAAGCAGTCTATCAACCTCGTGTTAGCTCATATATGAAAGAAGGTACATTAGAACACTCGTATTTTTGGAATAGATTGGAAGGATTCGATGGTGGTATGAAAATCCGCTTAGATTTTCACTTTTGTTAGAATCCTGGAAACGATAGGAAACCCGGAGAATCATAAGTATAAATTCGGACTTACTTGATATTTGAACGGCCTGTCCTCATTAGTTGTGTGGGCTTCAGCATAATCACGATTTTTTGGAGATTTGCTGGCTAATTCATCGCGGTTCCCTGGAATGCCGAGGTCAGCCTCGCCAAAGTCTGCCCCAGGTCTTCACCACCACAGGCATTCGTCGCGTTTGTCTATTAGAGGGATATTTGCCACCATACAACTTTGATACCAGGAAGGTGGTGAATCCTGGTATTGGCTTACTCTTAGCTAGGCATCCTGATGGAAACGCCGGACTCCTCAGCTTGGGAGACCCTGCTGGGACGAATCTCCCGCTGTACATCGCAGCCCGAAACATCGAATTTCAGAAACGGAATTTCTTACTCCACAAAAAGGAAACTACTAGAAAGCCACGGAAAAATCACAGAAAGCATAAAAATATTCGCATAAAAGAATACAAGCAAAAAGTTTTTACTTCGTATTATGTACCAGTAGAGTCTGCAGATCTCCGTCAACCAGATTACAAGTACATACATCCTTATTCTATCAAAATCAAATTCTAGATTTCTTTATCTCAGGGAAAGTGTTTCGTTCCTTTTTTATCGACGACACTTATATTTTGAACCATTTCGTCTGGTAGGACACGATGGTATAAGGGTATACCGTAGTGGTTAGTGATGCCGTCGATCAGGAAACAAAGGCGCTAGTTCGATACCCACTCCAACGGTTTCTTTCAATCCACATGGGAACGCCTTAGACTGGTTATCTTCAAGTTTGTAAGATATTCACAAAGAAGATGAAATCCTCAAGCAGCAGCCGAAACAACACGAAAAAGCTGGAGGATCTTCGTGGATGTTAGATGCGAGGAAGCGAATCGAATACAAGAAGTGGTGGGATCCTCACAGTAGAAGTAATCACGGGTCATGTAAAATGTAAAATGCAAAAAAAAACGACACAATGGTGTTTACCTATGTATCGTTGGTGTTTATCTTTCCAACGGTTTACCGCCTCATCGGTGGCTGGGACGTATTCCTGGTTGTCGTGCTGCGATGTATGGCGGGTGTATTCATCTCCCTGGCAGGGTCCCAAGCTGAAAAGAAGTCCGGCATTTCCATTATGAAGCCCATATTCCATTTTTTTGGGAAACCTCATAGAAAGCGGCTCTGAAGAAGGCGAAATCCGCCGAAACGTCAGCTTAATCGTGAACAAAGAATAGTAACACCTCGCGTTTGCTCAACAAAAATACGAAGAAAATCAAGAATTTCAGTTTCGTTCCAGTTAAGAGGAAAAAGAAACTGAAAAACAAAATACACGTCAACACATTGGACAATTGCCGAAATGTAAGCATATTCTACAAAATCGCACATGCCGTTAAGGTGACTAAGCAAAGTCTCTCCTTCAAGTCTGCGTTGCTCTATACCCTCTAGGTGGTAGTTGTCGAAAAGCGAGCACGGCATCGAATGCTCTAATCTATGAATCGTGCTCTTCGAGTGAACATAGTGAAATCATGGAGCAATTTGGGCGAAGCTTAATACGATCGCCGTTTTTCAGTAGTGTCAGGATTAGTGTTATTGTCGTCCTTCAGGTGTTATACCTACAAACTATGAACTAGTCTCCACAATGGCGTTGCAATAACTAAGCACCCTGAATTAGTAGCCTTAGTGATATCCAATCTCATGACCATCTTCTTGCGCTTGCAACCCTTCAATGGTCGAGATGTTTGCCGTTCTGACTTTGCTGTTATCAAAACAGCGGTGTTTCCTGACACTGATTATCATCAAGTTGATCTTTTGAACATAAAGACTGAACTGAGCTCATGCGATCGTATTATGGATTAAGACCTTTGCATAAAGATTGTAGTTCAGTGACCTTTGAAGGTGCCTCACAACGGTCAGTAACACGGCAAACCATTTAGCCGTAGACTGATCACATAGGTTATGAAAAAGTTTTATTCTTTTTATTAATGTGTCACATGACTGACAAGTTATTTGTACAGAGGTACGCAGTTAAGAAAGCTGGAATATACGACTTTATTATAACATCAGAGATCAATTCAATCGAGGCATTTTGAACACTGGCTGTAATTCGGTGTCTGGCTCTTCTTCTTCTGGGGCTGTGGTTTTTTCTTGGAAGATAGGCTTTGGTTGCGTCTTACGATAAGCCTTGTCTACATAGATCGGATTTTTCGCAGCCTGGATACAAAAATGAATTATAAAGACATCTATGCGAATGTATGCTAGTAGCGTATTTCAACACTGCACCTCATTTGTACAAACAACCGTGGTAGTGAGAAATATAGGGAACTAACTTCTTCAGCATGTCGCAGTATACTCGTTCGCACATCCGTATCTTCCATGAATGTCTTATTTTTCAATGTTCCCATTTGCTGAGCTACATATGAATGCAAACTACCACCACTAGCAACCACTGGAATAAAAAAAATGATCATACGGAACACTTTCGTTTCACTCCACTAAAGGATCCTATAATACTTAAAACTTCTACATCCTTTAAAGCACTACAAGTTCAGTGTTTTGGTCATTTGTAGCGCTAGATATGAAGTCGATAATGTAAAATTTACATTTGTTTTAAATCACTGAGTGATGGGACCATTAATGGTGCCTGTTTTTGTATAGTAGCAGATAAAAGTTCCTTTCTTTTTAACAACAACTTACGACGCTACTAGTATCAAATGCGGTTTTATGCAGAAATTTAATCAATCGAATACCTCTTCCATTGGCACTTCTTCCAATTGGAACGTCAGCTGGTTTCCGAAACTGTGGTCGTTGCTGGTTATCCATCATGCGGAGGTATTTTTTCAGTCGAAATCCGGTGACTTCCTTTTCTTCTCCTTCTTCTCCCCGCGGTTGGAACATTTCCAGTGTGAGTGCTAAGAAAGAAAAGAATTAATACACTACAAATGGATGTGGGTTCTACAACGATAATGTCACTGGCGGCGTAAAATTAACAGGAAAACTTAATAAGAAAACTAGAAGGGAATAAAATGAGATAAAAGTGGATGGCCAACAGCTATATTATTCCCTCACTGCTAATAACGAGAGAATGAGTAGCGCAGTGGTAGCGGTATCGTTGAGCATGGGCATGGTGGTGATTCGACCCCGTCTCTAGCACAACAAATCTCCCATCTCTCCTTTCGTAAATTCTATACCAGGTTTGTCTGGGAACAGTTCACTCCCTGCAATCTAAATAAAGAAGACTTAGCACGACAGGATACGCGGGAAAATCGACTCAACCATAATTGGAAATTCATAAAGAAAAAATCCTCAGGCAACAGCCGAAGCCACAAGCAAAAAGTTCGAGAACCTTCACAGATGATGGATGCGAGGAAACGAATCGAATTCAAGAAGTACTGGGATTCACACAATGGATTTTAATAGCAGTTATGTAAATTTTTAAAGTGCTTATAATATCGTCCTTATTACTTCATGCACTAACCAGATGGATAGAATGATTGCTGATTACGAAGGCGCTTTAGAAAAAATAGGTCCTCGGTTGAAGTTTCAGAAAACGATCCTTATACGGATGGCATTCATTTCTGGTGTTCCACACACGCTCAAAGGGATGGACATATCTTTGTCGGGAATTTAACGTGATGAACGGACAGCTCCAAAACAATGTAGGAAAGAAGCAGCAGCTTAGCAATTGCTTGTAGAGCACCATGACACACTGAAGAAGACTACGAACACCCATTTTTAACCACTTTTTCGATACTGCGATTCTTCCTATTCCAACGTGTCCTGAGAAGTGATCGGTACTAGGACGTAAGTAATGAAGTGAGCCTGTAAAGTTAAGAATATCCCGTATCAGGCAAGTAAGAAAGAAATCCTAGATTCCGATTTACTTTGAAAATCAATGTTCAGAGAATCTTCTGTTTACGTCAAATATGTTCTAAACACATGTTGAACCATTATAATTGGGTCTCACAGGAGGTTGAACTCGCATCAGAAAGACCATTGATCAAATAGTCAATATATTTAGTTCTTGGAGTTTGTCGAATGAGCAGAATCCATGATGCAACCCTATCATGGGAACATGAGCAAATGGAGTACTTGCTGGCGTTCTCATCAGCCACGCTATGCTCAACGAGAAGACGAATGATAGATGCTTTCAATGACCCACAAAATCCTACCATCTAATAAACAATCATGAATAATCAGAAATATGATGTATTATTCCATTACTTCGTACCATCAGTTTACCGCCTCATCGTGGCTGGGAGGTATTCCTGGGTGTCGCGCTGCGATGTACAGCGGAGGGATTCATCCTTTCTGCAGGGCCTCCCAAGCTAAGAAGGATTCCGGCGCTTCCATCACGAAGCGCAGCTAAGAGTGCACCAATACTAAGATCCACCACCGTCCTCGTATGAAGCTAGTCGCATGGTAACAAATCTCCTTCTGATCCACAAAGGTGACGACTGCAAGTGGTAGGTAGTGAGGATCTGGGGTAAACTTTGGCCAGGCTGACATCGACTCCAAGGAACTACAACAGTTAAACCAGTAAAACTCCGGAAAAATGGAAATTACGCTGGTGTCCGCATAAAAAGTGAAGATGGGCCATCCAAATATACAAGTAAGTAGGTATTCCATTAGTCCAGAGTACTTCAACTTACGAGATAATATCATTTCCTCACGAACAAATTCGTTAGCACGATTTCTTCTGATCGGTTTTGCAATGCATGTCATCACACCACGATTGGATAAACTTTGATCGTAATATATTCTAGAAACAATACTAGTAGTTTAAATTCTTAGAGTAGTACAGAAAAAAATCGATGTTGTCATAATGACACAATTTACATTTGGTACAAACCTTAACGTCCCATCACTAAAACCAACCAAGATTTGATTCAACTTAGGGTGCCAACAGATTTTTGTACAACTCTGAAAACATTATGACTGTTACCAAAAAGCTTATTGCACCTTGACTGTAATACTTTTTGTGTAGGAAAATAGAGAAACAACGTTATTTAAAATATCAACTAACTATTCCTGGGTATTCGATTTTGTAGACAAGTTCGAACGTATCCGCACCAAAAAAGAGCAACATGCCAGGCATATTCGTATTTGTAGATGAGGTTCCAGTATATATAAGTTCACCATGAGGAGAGAATCCACAGTCAGTGCTAAAGTTTTTGAGATGACAAGTACAAGAAAACCTAACAAGTTCAACCTTTTTTGTGAAACAGCACTGGATTAGATAGTTTGTTACAATCTTATTTAGGTGAGACATAAATCATTGCTAGAGCTATAATTTCTCACCCGTAATATTTTATACTTTGCAGTTACGAATTACTATCCTTGAAGATGAAACGTTGAATGTACATCAATACTGAAAATCTGTCTAATAATAAACCTTTTAAACGCATTCTCCAAATCAGCCTTTTCAAGGATAGGCGCTTTGTTGTTTTTGATTGACCACATCTTCATACAATCGTCCAGTCCTCTTGTTAGAATCTTCTGAGAATCTGGAGAGAAAGTCATTGACGTGATCGGACCTTTGTGAGCATTTCGAACAAGGTAGAATGTGTTTACCTAAAGAAGACAATTAATATTAAAGGATAAAAAAGGATAAATTTGATTTGTCCTTGAATAATGCACCATGCATTCGACTTCATTAATCATCGTTGGAGGTGAGTGGATGCAAATTTAGCTTTTACGATGACTCACGGTGGTCTACCGAAGTATCGAGCCTGTGCTATTATCCTCTCAGACAACTCTTGTTCCAATTTGCCGACGCCGGAGGGATGGATGGCTTGGTGAGCCTGGGGCGCAGGTATCGATTCCATGTGTACTGCAGGGTGCACTGCGCTACACGCGCCGTTAATCATTAGTATTATAGGGGAAATACCGTAGACCACTCACATATAGATTCCCATATTTCCAGACTTGAATAGATCCATCGTCGCAACCAGCCGCAATTAACTTTCCGTCCATCGAGTAGCAACATGTCTGTGGCATTGCCCGCTTCCCATTTGCAGTTTTCGTTTTAATCACCTTTGAGGAAGAAGATAGAAAGATATCCCTAGCAATTAACATTATGGAGACAGAATGGACTGTGAAAATAATCAACCACTTTTGATGATTAAAGATCAACGAATTCGAATACTCTACGGTACCTTCCTATGTGTATTTATTGTTTTCGTCATGATTTTGAAATCTGCCAGACTCCATAACCGAACAGTTCTGAAATCCTAACGATTGACTCAAAGTTTGACATACAGGTACTTGATATCGATACTTATTGAAGGCTCGAATGAGAAGCCTACCCGTCATCTCCACATGTCATAAATTCATCCTTGATAATAGGGTTAAACTGACAACAATTGATAGCTGCTGTGTGTCCTTTCGTATGGCTAACGTCAACGAGGTACTGATCTCCTACACAAAGACTGATAAGGTTGCTTTAAAACAGATTTTATATAGAGGAAACTAAGTCACATGAAAATTATTGTTCTTATGGATTGGATCTACGACAAGATTAAAAGGCTGCTAAAAAGGCTAAAAAGGGTTAAGAAGAAAGCTAAAAACACAAACCTCGTACTGTTTCTGCCCATTGCTTGCCAGATCTATCCAATAAATGAACCTGGGCCTTACTACTACAAATAAGCATTATTTCTCCATTTGCGCTAAACGCTATGTCGTTGATTATGTGGCTAAAAGTAGTATTTTCGTATATAAAAAAAGACAGGATAGCCCACAAAGGATGCGCAGACAAGAGGTATGGTGACGAAAATTAAAACATCACGAAAAGAAAAACTTCAGTAGAATTCCTCTCACCTCTCACAAGGGAAAAGTTCCTTATCTGCGCGTAGACTCATGTCCATCTTTTGAAAGTCAAATAATTTCACTTGGTAATCAACACCACCGGAAGCAAATCGTATTCCATTCGGCTCGAAACGAAGAGCTGATACCTATATATTGGCACTATTCCATTTACAGAAATTACACTTTATTTTGAAAAGAAAAAACGAAAAAGCCTTTTAAAAATTGGTTCGCATGTCCCTCTAAAAGAACGCACTGGTTTTCCACTGTGAATAAGCTTAGCTTCACATGAAGTAGGAATAAGATTAACTGTTGGAACCTGAAAATAGCACATGATGATCTCTGCATGATGATTTCTAAGATAAATGATTAAGGCAGTGTTTATGGAAACAAATTAAATTCAATGGAAGCAGTCGTTTTTCTAGTAACATACCCCTTCTCCAGCATAGTCCGCAAATTCTTCACCATCATCGTCGTCATCATCATCATCATCATTTTTATCACCAGAGGCACTTTCATTAACAATTATGGAATGAGATCTAGACTTAATATTCTTGGTGACGATTACACTTTTGTCTGGCACGAAACCGGGAGGCATCACTGGCAGAAAATCTGAAGCAGAAGTCATAAAAGTACTGAAGGATAAACTCTTCGGCGTTGATCAATCCCTGAGGGAGGCGCCATGCATTCGACTCCATTCGTAGCATCGAGGTGATTGAATACATATCTGGGCTTTACAATGACTCACGGTGGCCTGCTCTTGTATCGAGCCAGTGTTGCTATGCTCCCAGACAATTCTGGTACCAATTTGACAACCCCGAAGAGATGGAAGGCTTGGTGAGCCACGGGCGCGGGCATCGATCCTATATGCGTGTCACAGGCTGCCTCTTCCGACTCATACCGAGTTTTATTGTCAAATAAATAAAGGACAAAGAATAGAGCTCTTGGCGCTGATCAATCACTAAGGGATGCGCCATGCATTCGACTTCATTAAGTATCGTTGGAGGTGATTGAATGCATATTTGGCTTTTAAAATGGCTCGCGGTGGCCTACCGATGTATCGAGCCAGTTGTTCTTTCCTCCAATACAAGTCTGGTACTAATCTGCCGAACCTGGAGAAATGAAAGGTTTGGTGAGCTTGGGACACCGGGGTCGATCCCAGGTGTATTGCAGGGCGCCTCCGACAACTGTACTACACGCGCAGAAATCATATTAACACGAAACGACGCCAAAAGTCGACTTACCATCTTCCTCACTAACGTTACCATTGTCTTTACTTAGAGTGTCTTCTGCCTTAAACACAATGAATGAGTGCGCAAAAAGAAATATAGAAATTGTAATGAGAACACTCACACTTTGCTTTTCAGATTCTCCACTTCTCTGAGAAAATTGTGCCTGACCAGCCTGTAAATGCGAAGCGAATAAAATCGTTAGCAAACTGGAACAAAAACCCACAGAAAAAACGGCACATTGAAAAAAACATATAAAATGTTATTAACTGCTGTCACCTTCCTGGTTTCCTCAAAAATGGCATTGAAATCGAACACACGAGCTTTCTTATCAGCGTTTCTTGTCTTTTTATCTGAAGTAGAAGAGTAACCAGTCAGGTATACAATAATATAAGGGCAAGAGATCGTTGCGAACGGCAATGAAACGGATATAACAAAATGATCCGAACCTGCACTAGTCGTCGGAGAACCGCAACTTTCCTCAGTTGTGGAACTCATCCTGAAACTGAAGTAGCAGGCTAATAAAAGTAATAGTCATAATAGTAACCACAACATCTTGAGATCTTGGGTCAAGTAGTTCAGGCTACATAAACTCGACACCACTGCAACAATCGTCCACGGCGCTGATTTTGTGGGGTTTTTATGCATGACATTCAATATATGCACTAGATTATCCTTTACACTTCTTATACTTCTTATACTAAATATACGAGCTCTTACACTAAATGACTGCTTAGTACACATGTTTGTGTTGAAATACTTCCGTTTTTGTGCTCTGTAAAAGACAATTTAAAGTATAACACATGAGAGAATTCGAACAAAATCCTGTCAGTTTGGCTTTACTCTAAGCTGCGATGTTCAGAACTCTGCAAGCTCAGTAGAAAACCGCGTATTAGCTCCGCTTTGGTTCAAGGAATTTTGTTAGGCGAAATTTAAACAACGAAAATCAAGAATCGTCGTAATTAAAGCAATCACGCTTACTGTACCGTTAGAGATACGCAAAATTATTACGGACATATTTTATGGAACGCAAAGTATGTGGGTGCAATTTGGGTCATAAATTTTTTTTGAATCGTGCTGAAAGGTTGTCCATTCACCTGAGCAAAATCTTGCTTCATATTTTAAATACCTAGTAGTAAACGCTAAGAGCGCGTGTGGCGCAGTGGTTCGAGGCGCCCTACGACACACACGTCTAATCGATCACCGCGGCTCATGGCCCACCAAGCCTTCTATCCTTTCGGTGTTGGCAAATTGGTACCAGATCTGTCTGAGAGAATAGCAACACTGGCTCGGTAGATCGGTTAGCCACCGTGATTTCATAGTACAGACCAGATATGCATTCAATCATCTCCAAACGATGCTTAAGTCGAATGTATGGCGCATCCCGAAGGGATTGGGCAGCGCCGAGAGCTTGTTCCTTTTTTTTAATAGTAACCGCTCAGTAAGAACTCATTTTAAGTTGATCTGCAGTGATTCGTGGGAAATGTCTCAAATCGTCATTTGTTCTGAATTAATACCGATTTTCACTTCTCTTCTGAGTGTAGAAGGTTCTTCAATAGCTTGATGTGAATAGACTTAGAGGAATTATTCTCCAGACGTTTTCCTAAAAGTTTTTTTGTATAATTTTTTTATATCTCTAGTTCATTAGATTTCTAAGCCGGACAGTGGCAGGATCAGCAGTTACTAATGATTGCTGTCTCTTAATCTTTCCTCACAGTTGTGGTTTTGTAGCTTATTAACTCCAGAAAATTTTATTTGATGATACCATTTGATATTACTGGAGTATAACTGTTTACACTTGTTCCGGATTGCAGTACAATGTTGGCTGGAGAGGAAGTGTTCAAAAATCCATTGGATGGCATGGAAGACGAACCTGTGGATGGCAAAAACACTGCGTCGCAGCCTCAGTCGACGTCAAAGGAGCCTCGTGGCGATGTGTCTCCTAACACAGCCGTTGACGTGCCTACTGAAGGGTCGAGTAGTCCAGAAACTATTGCCAACGACAATAGATTTGTGAGTTTTACGTTTAAACATTGATGATTGACCACATAGCAAAATATCCTGTATCCCATCGATTTCGATGGTGTGGCTGTTGATTTTTTTTTGTATTCTTTATATAAGGAGTGCGTATGGCGCAGTGGTGGGAGACGCCCTGCTGCACACATAGGATCGATCGCCGCGCCCCCGGCTCACCATGCCCTCCATCCTTCCGGTCTCGGTAACTTCGGGCCAGATTTGTCTGGGAGGATAGCAGCAGTGGCTCGATGCATCAATAGTCTACTGCGAGTCATTGTAAAGGCCAGATATGGATTCAATCGCTTCCAACGAGTCGAATGCATGGAGCGTCCCTCAGAGATTGATCAACGCCGAAAGCTCTATCTTTTTTTATTCTTTGGTAAGTTTACACCAGGTTGATGAGTAAATTTTGTCCGGATACCGTTCTGACATTTTCATCTTCATCACAGTCGGTGATCCGAGTCGGTGCTGCATAGTCGTTCGTCTACCAGAGTTTGGGTAGCGCAGTGAAAGGGGTGACGTTCAATAATATGCGGAACATCCTAGTTCAAGATAGCTTGTTCTCAACCTATCCTCCCATCCTACGAGTTCGGAATTTATGCTAGACCTATCTGAGAAGCAACCAGTGAACGTGAAGAACCACTCCACAGAGGCTGGTGGTTGTTTGAGGGAAGATTTGGTAACGCCCTAGCACGGTAATCTCAGGATTTCAAGGTGAATCGACTGGACCAGAATTCATCGACACTGGTAAAGAACATTAAAAATTTTAAAGTAGAAACCGTAACCACACTCGAATCCAATAGCCTTCGTGGATGATGGATGATAGGGAACGAATGGAATGCGAGAAATGCTGAAGTCCACACCGTATGTAGTGTCGAGTTGTATGAAAAGAAATTTTGGATTGTAACGTATTCTCAGGAAGCGATGAGTTCGAACGTGCTCCTAGTTTGTAGAGATGTTGCATGAGTTGGCGATCGATTGCCTCCGCTATCAACAACTGACTCATCTGTTGTTATTCTGGGCTACTCTTTCATGTTGCAGCATCGCACTGAAGAAATTAACGTGGATCTCGATGCGGACGATGCAATTAGCGTCGATATTTCCGATGCACTTTCTGAGAGAGATAAGGTTTGCTACGTTTAGTTTGTTTTTGTTTTTACTGCTATTCCCACTTACGCTTTTGTCACACTCGTTGATCGATTTCGCTTCCCGAACCTAGATTGGATGTTTCCTTAGAGAATATTACATACATCAGTATCCCTTTCTTTATTTCCCTTTGTGCTGTCCAAACCTAAGCTTGTATCACATGGCCATCATAATTTGCAGTTTACTAGTTATTTAGGTGAAGTACACTGTACATACGAAGACTCGTCTTCCTGATATGCATCCCGAGACGTCTGTGGTACGTGAGCACGAAGAGTTTCTGTGGCTTCACAGCGTATTGGATGAGAATGAGAAATACGCGGGTTTTATCGTACGTTATGGTTTGCTTTCATTACATTTGAGTAATATAATCTACGAAACCGAGATTGAGAGTGTGTTGGTACTTCAGTAAGCTTTTATTATTTGACGCATGACATTCTTTCAGGTTCCTCCAGCACCTCCTCGTCCCGACTTTGATTCATCACGTGAGAAATTGCAGAAACTTGGCGAGGGTGAAGCAACTATGACAAAAGAAGAGTTCTCGAAGATGAAGCAGGAGCTCGAACAGTATGTCTAACGCATTTGCGTTAATGAATGAAACTTGTTAGAGACCAGGTTTAATGAGAACAGGAGTAGTTGACTTGTTCTAACGTAAAACTAGTCCAAAAATTTCCCTGTCGTCTGTTTTTGTCTACATCTTCTTCGCGCTTTTTAATTCTAGAAAACCACGCTTTTTACACCCTTTCAGAGTTTCTGTGTTACGTTTTTCTTTGTTTAGCAATAATTGGCTTCAGGGATTATCTAGCCCAGTTCAAGAAAACAGTGGCCATGCATGAGGTGTTTCTTCAAAGGATTGCAGCTCATCCTGTATTCCGGCAAGATTCGAACTTTCGTGTCTTTTTGCAGTATGAAAATGAGGTGAGTCTGAGAAGTTTTATTTACTCTCAGTCTCAGTTAAACATTCTTATCGCAGTAAAATATGACATGCATCTTTAAGTACAAGTCTTCCTGTGCTTTTAGTTTCTCTGAAAGAAGACCGCCTAGAGTTGAACGCATCATTGCCCGACATCGGCTTATTTTTCTGTTTAAATAAAGTTTTAAGTATTTCAGGAGTTGGGGCATACGACGAAACTATAAAGTGTGTTTTATTTGTTCTTTATTATTGACAATAGTCAACCGTACATATATTCAGACTTAGCTCACTTTACAGTTTAAAATCTTTCGCACACTTAGGCATAGTATTCTAACTTATTCTAAAGATTACTGGGTTATCGGGGGATTAATGCATCACTTTAGGGAACATTTTTTCCTACTTCAAATGGTTTTTAGCTTATTATATTGGGATGCGTTGTAGAATTGTGCATATTTGACTGGCCAGAATTAGCAAGCACCTAGTGTTTCCACAGTCTAAAAATGCGCTCATTTACTGCTAAATGTTAAGAGATCTTATTACTCGCTCCTAGAGGACGAAATTCCCACCTTAAATCTAGGGTCGTACGGTTCCTGAGTTAGACACGTTTAGTAGTTATCTAAACGTTGAACTTAGGTGACCGATTAACATAGTGGTTGCGACTTATATTTGAAACGTAGTTAGTTTGAAACATTTTTTACTCGGATAATTCCTGAAAGCAAAAAATACTCCGGTAAATAGTGGTATGACTTGTATCACCTGCGGCCCTGTTGATCGGGGAGCGATCTGAGCGGGCGTCAGTAATTCTTTCATTTCTCCTTGTTGCTTGCAAGAGTAGCCTAGTGGGTTCTGCTCGCCCTGGGGATTGTTGGGCATAATATCTTTTTCTAGGGTTTTCGTAAAGAACTAACCGTTGGATAAATGGTTTTAGTGGTGCATTAATTTTCCGCAGATCCAGTAAATGAGAGTGCTTCTGTATTTGATGTTTGTTATTACCAATATTTAAAAATTTATCAGGGATTCAGACTTCTTTCAGCGCTCTGCGCAACTAAGAAAGGCTCGTAACTCGTATTTGTTTGACGATGGAAGATGCTTTGTTAGGCGTCTTGTCCGCAATGGTACCAGTGACATTTATCTCGATGTCGTCACGTGTGGTCGCTGCGATTCACGAATGAAGATAACTCAACGCCAGGGCAAATTTAAAGGCGAAATGCGCTCTTACTGGGCGTATAGGTGTTATGGATGTCAATCGTTTCGTTCCCTTGTTAGGACTGATAACTCTCCTAGGCCTCCATTCCGTCATTCAAAACTCCGTTGCTTAACAAACTCAATCATGGCTCCACTGAACATGAAACGTGAATTGAAGTCAGAGCTGAACCAGCTGCCAACTAAGCGCCCCGCTCAAGCCCCATCAGTCCCGGATGCGGCTGAGTTCGGCTGTCTAGTCTTTATTCCCAGAGCACTTAGCCCTGCTCAAGTGCTGGCTCTTCGTGAGGCATTTTTTCAGATCGTGACCGACAGTTATCTTGAACAAGAAAATTCAACTTCTAAGTGAGAAGTTTTCTTGGTATGTTTTGGTTAGTTTTTTAAGGGTTCGAGTGTCACTTTAAAGGGAAGGTTTTATTTCGCTCATTAGTTTGGCAGCGAACTTCGTAAAGGCGGCAACTAAATATTACTGAAAGGAAGATATTTTAGCACAGCAAAATATTGTTGATTTCTGGATACAGAGCTTAATAATTAATGGAATAAAAAATTTTCAACCAGCGTAACTTGGGACACCGTAATATTGCGATTATGTGATATCTGTAGTAGGGAAGAAACATCATAGCAGTGAATTGATGCATTTTGACATGTGCTGGCTTCGTCCGTAGTTACTTTTTGAAACCATTTGTCGTCTGCACTATTTCCAGGTTTATTTCCCCCAAGGTTTTGCCCCAAGTATGCCCTAGGATTTGTTGAGTTTGTGTTTTTTCTACTTTTGCTGCTTTTCTAATGAAGTTCGTAGGAGCTTGATCCATAAACTGTGCTCTCAAAATGGTGTTCTTCTTTTTAAGTGGTATTTCGCCTAGTGTTTAGGGCATTGTTTATTAAAGATGTTTGAAGAGGTTTAGTTCCATTTTTCCTTGCCTTTGTTAGATTGTCCATTAGGCTTTTTGAACTTTTCGTTACAATTCATCACGATTCCCCAGTTTAACATGAAGATATCGGTATAGGTTGATTTAAAATGTCGGTGATTACCGTTTATTTGTTTCCTTAACGAATCGATAGTTGTTTTTTGTAAGATTTTTTCGTTGTTCGTAATTGTTTGTTCGTTGCAAAGTTCAAGATGGAAGCAGTAACTCTGGATTTAAATATGATTGAGCAATACTTTCGTCATGTACGCAGACGCTCTCGAAATTCTCTTTCGTGTCCCATTTCATAGAAATCTGGTCGCTTTTTGTTTTCGAATTCTACCTTCTCTTTTATCGGTGCTTTCCGTACGGTTTTGAAATTAATTCATTTAAACCTTTTGTATCACTTTTCACAAATCCACTTTTTGCTTGTTATGTTCATTCATACATTGTAATGAAGCATTTTTTTTACAGCAAGCCTTATCAGTGCATTGAGAACTGTCCATTCTGCATTGGAAGTATATTTGCATTTTCCACATAGAATACTTTGTCCACTTGATGGTTTTGAGAGGCACTATTGTTGTGGATAATCGTGTAGTGTTGAGATTACTTCCTGATCATCTGTATGCTTAGAAGCAGACTACTTCAAAAGTAGTCTGTAAAAAAATCTCCATTGAAATCTTACTTCAGATAAGTAAGTAGTTACGTTGTCTCATTTCAGTTATCTGTGCGAGGCAAAAACAAAAAAGAAGTAGTGGAGTCATTGTGGAAGCGTTTCACGCAATCAGCCGATGAGGTTCTTCTTTCTGGACAGGTAATTTCAACACAGTTTCTCTATTAATGTTGTCGTTGTTAACCTGTCTTGAATGAAGTGACCGCTTTTTGTTCTGTGAACCCATTATTAGAGGCTGATCTCTTTTCTACCAGATCAGATTTTCACTTATTTTCACTCTTTTTGATAGAATTGTTCACTGATAACTTTTTATTATGCATCTTCGCAGAATTTTATTGGAGAGCAAATCTACTCTAAGCTGTTTTACTTGTTCTATAGAAAATGGCCGGTGTTTTACAATGCATGGTTTTTTCTTCTTTTTTATAGCATGCGTCAATTTTTTTTAGAGAGATGTGGACGACTTTTTCGAAAACGAGCGCAATTACTTGGTAGAGTACAACACTCACATTAAGGATGCCGCTTCGAAAGCCGAGAAAGTGGTGAAATTGCGTAAGAGTAAGTACTTTCTTGTTTTCTCGTCTTAGTATTACTTAAGTTCTACTTTCCATATGGTGGGTGGAATTTATACTTCTTTATCGCGATTCTTGGACGTGATCAATTTTATCCTGGTTACTCGCAAAAGAGGGACTGGGTAGCGTAGTGGTAGTAGTGTCATTCATCAAGAGCACAGTGCTGTTTCGAAATCGAACTGGGCCTACCAATTCTCCCAATCACCGGAGAGAATGAGGGAGATTGGAATCAGACGTGTCCGGAGTAAGATCAGTCTCTCTAATCCACGTGGGAACACCCTGGGATGGCTATCACGGGATTCCAGGAGGAGTCGACTCAATAAACATTGAACGTCGTTCGTGACAAAAGCGAAAAAAATCCTTACGGAGCAGCCGAATGCGCACGCAAAATGTTCGAAGACCTTATTGGTCAACTGGATGTATATGGTTTATGGCAGACTTAGCGGTTTACCGCCTCGTGATGACTGGGAGGGATCCCTGGGTGTCAGGCTGTGATCTGCAGCGGGTGTTCATCCTCCCAGCAGGGCCTTCCAAGCCGAGAAGGAATCCGATGTTTCCATCCGGAAGCTTAGCTATGAGTAAACCAGTATTAGGAGCCACTACCTCCTGGTACCGAACTAGTGGCGTGATGCTAAATCCCTTTGTGATCCAAAAGGGACGGCGGCAACCTGTAGTGGTGACGACCTGGGAAAAGTTTCAAGCTGACCTCGGGACTCTAGGGAAACACAATGGCTAAACCAGCAGTTGTAAATTATTCTGGAGCCCATACACCTAGTGAAGGTAGACCATCCGAGTATTCAAGTATATGGAAAGTGCTGTGGGGTGACTTCAAACGAATGAGCTGGTTGTGTTGCTTCTATACATATATACTTGGATTGCCTGTAGCAAGAACAAACATTACAAAACTATTCGTGTCATTTTGCTGCTTGATGATCCACTAAGAACCTTTTCTCGAAAAATCAATCTATTTTTATTTCACTTTATTCGGTATGGTCATTGTATCGACCATGTGGACACGAAATTATTTTAATACATTTAACATAGATTGCAAAATACTTCCAAATGCCGACAGCAATGCATTTGTAATATGGACTATAGTAACACATAGCACATAGCATTCATATCAGTCATACACATCGAACGATAAACCAAAGTCTCTTCTACAATTCTGTCATGTTCAAAACCCCTCAAGTCCTCTATTTAGTAAAAAAAAAATTTCTTAATGTCAAAAAACCAGAAAATCCACTACGGTCGAAAAATTACACATAATCGGTTGGACCAGCCAGGGAAAAATGCGTCGAAACGGAATTGGTTAATACTGATTAGTCTAACGAGTAATTAAGTTAGTCATCCACTTTGCAAACTCAAAAAAAAGTTGGTTTTTTAGAAAAAACACTAAGTGTTTTCGATTTACAATTGTAATCGTATTAAATGTGAGTTGATCTCTTGAATCGAAGTGTACTTTTTGCATTTTATGGTGCTTCATCTAAGTTGTTTTGTAGAAATTATTGAACCACCTATGTTATCTGTCTTCACTTGTAAATCATTTACTTGAGAGCCCATCACATACCAAGTACGTTCTCTGTCGCTGCAGGTGATTGATCTGCTGATGTTCCTACATACCATTCGTTATTTTTTCTCGTACAGAAGAAATTCATCTAAGAGAAGTCGCCATCATGCTTACGCTGTGTTTGTACTATTGATATTCTCCATCATAATTATCTTTTTCTTATCGAACTTTTTCAATGATAATGAACTTATCCTTTCATTGGCAATCTTCATCAGTCTCATTTGGTTCTTTGTTTCTTTTTTACGATTCCATGGTTTTCTGATATCACTACAGCATTTTTTTCAGATGTGGCCGAAACATACGCAAAGATTGGCGACTGCCTTGAGAGAATGGCACGTGTTGAACCGGATAAGTTGCTAGCACGAACGGAGATGCGAGCATCTGATGGAATGTTTAAGCTGAAGAAGGTATAACCATTTCTATTTTTGACCCTTAAGATTTATTGGATACTGTTTCAGAGAAACGGAAATAGTGTGTTATCGGATATTTTAGACCCTAATATTCCGTTAAAACGCTTCCCTTTTTGTAAATATTTTAGTATGTTTTGGAATATCGTCGAAAAAAATTATTATTGTTCTTAGTATAAAAAAGTCTCTTCAGGTGGAAGCGCGTTCTGCAAACGATGAAGAGTTGAAGTTGACGGATACGTTAATGTACTTTATGAGAGATACGCAAGCGGCTAAGGTATGCATTTTCTAATGAATATCTTTATTTACAGATGAAGTAGCCATGGCCTGTTCGTTATAATGAGAAGTTGGAGAAAATCGTAGGAGAATGTGGTGTGTTTCCAAAGTCTAATTTTTCCTGTGATAGGTTTACCATTGGGATTATCGATACACAGTAGAACAGCGTTCATTCGACTATCAGTTTGTGTAATATCGTTCTCCTTTCCAAAATTAAAAAAAAGATGCTTATGCGCTGTTTGTCGCTAACACATTCACCATATGCATTGGTATCAGTGCTTAACTGATCCAAATTAGTTTAGTCTTCCAAGTTTGAGATCGTATCTTTACGAACAGTATGTTCTGTTGCTTGTTTCCTAGACAACCCACCTTTGCAAATCATGCGGTTTCCATCACTTATTCCGTTCGTTTCGTTATTTTGTAGCTTCCATCCAAAGAGGTGGTTTCCTTGTACCTTTCTTCACCTGTTATTTCAATGTCATTTTTTAAATACTAATTGACAGTTATATGGTACTGAAACGTGATTTTCCGTGGTATCCTGAGATTGCCCCGTTAAAGCCTAGACATTCAACACAGGCTGTCTTCGCCCTTTGTGGATTGGTGAGAGACCATCTGCTTTGCGATTCCGATTCTATCACAACGGTAGCCAATCCATCTATTAGCCAACTGAGCTCTCGACTGCAACATAATGTTTGAACAAACGGAATTTCGCTAACTGTTATTGTTAATGTTATTTCAATTTTAATTTTTTTCCCAATTTTAGCTTCAGATATTTGGTCCATTTTAGGCAATTGTCAAAGTACTTGTTTATCGAATTTACTTGTTTCATTTTCATATTATGTGCAGTTATCAAAAAGCCAGTGTCATTTCGAGTATATTAGTGAGTTAGCACTTTTTTACTCTCTTGAAATCTTAAGGTTCATCTCATCTCTCAAAAGTTTACCTGATAATTATAGTTAAGGTGATGTTCGGCCCATGCTGTTCAGCGGTCAGATTCCCTGTAATACAGTAGTGGTGGTTAATGTATTACTGTGTTTGGAGCGTTCTTAGCAATAACGTGTTGTGTTATCCTTAATTGCTTAAGTGGGTATTACCATTAAACAACAGAAAATCTTTTCATCAAGACGTTTGGTATTTCACAGTATTGTAGAAGAATTTGTATAACAGGGTAGACGATACCTTACTGTATCGTAATAAGGGCATATAGTTTCTCGGTGGTTACAATTTCAAGACTCGAATTTTTAAAGATTTTGAGAGAATTGGATTACTGAAATTACTAATTGTCCATTCTTGGATGTAAATGCATACTTTAGGAGGAGATTGCTTCGTTCTATGGAGTACGACTTGGGAAAAATGACTTGTAACTTCCAAAAAGTGAAAATTTGACCCTTGTTAACAAAAACGTTATGTCCTAAGGACAAAGATCTGTTTGAAAAGTTGGATTATTTTCAGTCAATTGTATAGACATCAAATGTATTACAATGTATTGAATTGAAAAGAATGGTCACACATTTGACTCCATACCTTCTTCAGAGCCTGGGAAGGTCAAGTAGTCATGCTAATTGTAACATACTCTGCTAAATACCTCCATAACTTCAAGAGAAAAACTACAATACCGAAATTTCAATCGCATTGAGTGCACAATAGCTTTTTCACACACTCAAAGTTTCCTGTGAGTCTTCCACTGAGTCTTCCACGTGGAAACTGTGGTTGTGGCTGGATTATTACTCGATCTTTTATGTGTTCTTGAAGATTTGTTTGTCAAATTTATTTCGTCAATTTGTATAAGTCGTTAAGTATCGTATTATAACGTAACTGGAGGTAATCTAACTATCTATAATCTATTATAGTCAACTAGATTTCTCTCGTTTCATGTTCTGTTCATAGAACTCTCGACTGTTGTCGACAATTTCGCTGTATGCACAGAGCTTGCATGAATGGCTAATGTGCCTCTCTCACATAAAAGTATCAATCTTAGATATTGTAGGAGATCACGCGTAGTAACGAAACTTTCTATCCAGCGGTCCACCTTTGCATTCTTGGAATTCATCTGGATTGCTTCGAGAGTTTTGAGCGTTGAAGTTCTCAATTCCTGTGCGAGGACAGTAACTTCTTCATCAAAATCTCCGTTACATCTCCATGTTCTGTGCAAGCCTGGAGGAATGTTTTATTTGGCTTCAAGTTTCCCACCAAGCTGCACTTTTATACGTACACAAAGTGGTTTACTCGTTTCGCCAACATATTCGTTCCCACATGCTTTACAAGAAATTGTATACACCATAACCGAACTCATGCGACCAGTCTCTGTAACGTTTAGGTGTATGGGGTTTTGCATTGTGCAAACACGTCATAAAAGCGGTTACGAAATAGCTGATGTCTTAGATTGTTCGCTGGTAATCAAACAGCCTTATTTTCTCATCAGCCTAGTAGCGTATATGGTGTGTGTTCTAGGTTAGCTCCTGTGTTATTTGTCTGAATATTCACTGAACTTTGAAGCTGCTAGAGGTTTCAACACCACTAAATAGTTGTTTGGGCAAAGCGTTGTTAAACGAATGTGGGCAAAATATTTATAACTATGTGGGTCATGTAGGTTTCCTATACGGCCAAAGCTATACCCGCCTCCACCCCACGTTTGGAGCTCAGCATGCTATAGTAGTATCAAATAGCTCAACAATAAAATAAACGGGTCTCATTCTCCTAACCATGAAAAGACCTCCGATAGAGTAGCGTTGGATAGGACGAATACGGAGAGGCTGCTAAAATCTCACGACCACTCTAAGCTGCATATTGGCCATGAACATCACTTCATTCGAACACCTAACAACACGAATCGGATGTTACACTTGAAGATATGTGGAACAATACCACCCTTAACAATTTTCGTCTTCGTACCGACGTTAACTTGTGACCAAAGCGAATTCGAACCGTTCTATATGGACGTGGATAAGTTCTAAAGAAAAGATCATATATTCTGCAAGGTCTTCATTGAAGGCTTTAACGCTTAGAATGGATCCAGGAAAGCGTCTGAAAAACATCACACTTGGACCCATGGATTAGAATGGAACGAGCAGAGTGAGCGGCTGTCTGAGTTTATCAAGATGACTAAGACCATTATAGTAACTCGCAATTCCAGAAGCCCCACTTTCAACACTGGACGTGGTAGTCTTCCAATGGGGAATACCATAACGAAATAAACCACATCACAGTGAATCGAACAAAATTATACACGGGATCGGACCACCGTCTCCTCATTCGTGCAAGGTTTCATTTTTTGTTTATATTGTTGAGTTTATACGAGAGTGATATGAGATGTTTATTCGGCTAACGTTTCAATGTCTTCTTTTTCATTAGAGCCGACGATCCTTGTTGATGGTCCACAGTTATTCCTCTTCTCGATATGGCGTCTTCGTCTCGCATCGAACCGAGATTCATTTTTTGTGGAGAGGAGAGCAGGTAGCACAATTCAAAAAAAGGTCCTGAAGGTGTCGTAGGCTTGGGTTTATCCAGTCCATTAGTCGGCGGTTGTGAGGCCGCTATTATTGATAACATCGACGAAGAATAACCGGGCGTGTTCAACATTTTCACGTTAGCGCTATGAAAGCTGTGAGTTCGAAAGTCACCAAAAGACGTCTATCTCCAGAAATACTCGAGCTGATACACCGGCGTGTAATCGCACGAGCTACGCGCAACCGACAACTCAGGTTCGAATTGCACAAAAATTGTGATAGGTGATAAAAGAAGGTCATAAGCAGATAGCAGCAGTTATGGTCGAAACCGCAGAGGCTGGGAAGAGCATTCGCAAAACCCACCCAAGCTTCGCCAATTACAAGGTCAAGATGGTTGCAGTCTGACGTTCAAACAGAACGGTTATGGCTTCCATAAAGGCAAAGGAGTAAATCGCTGACGACTATTAGTCGGATCTCTTCAATGACCACATCTTCCTGCCTCTCTATGATATGAAAGAGGATAGCTATGTCGTCTCACTGGTTCTCTCTCCTGAAATCCAACAAGCTTCTTCCTCGGTGAAGAATCGAGCAGCAATGGTCCATACATGATAAGATCTGAATACCTGAAAAACCTTCCATCAGTCCTCGTTAACACACTGGCTTGGCTGTCCACGCGTTAACTGTCGGAATGCAAAGTTCCTATTCAACGAAAGACCGGTAAGACTGCGTTATTGTTCAAAAAGGGTGACCTCTTTAATATCGCCAACTATCGCTCAATCTGCTTACTGTTTGTCGTCTACAAACTTTTCACTGGAGTCGTCCTATTCGGGATTGACAGAACACTGGACGATAGGCAACCACGTGATAAAGCAAGGTTTCAAAAACGATTCCGTATGAAGGACCACATCCACGTAATAACAAAACATAAAGGTATCGCGAGAATGCAAAAAACCGTTTTATCTAACTTTCATCGATTTAAAAACGATTTTGACTCAGTTGAGGTAGAAGCAGTTGTGGAAGGACTGCACAGTCAGGGAGTCCCTACTCAATATATGAAGATTCTTTGACAGCTGTGTAAAAATTTGGAAGCCAATTTACCACCATTCTACAGCGTCGTTAACATCGCATCGACGTTAATCGTTGTTGAATACGGTGTCAGAAAGACGGTACTAGGAGTACCCGTGTCACACAGGTGGGAGAAGGGATGCTAAGATGTTACCTATGTCAACGATCAGAAATCAAAGACGCCGTTCTATACGTCAAACTGTTGAAGACAATTTAGGCCAGACATGTAATCTTAAACGTGCAGCAGAAGAGCACCAACCCTATGGTCAGAGTTTTTCACGAAAGCCCTAGAAGAAAGACATGATGATCAACGAGTTCTTAGAGCAAGCGGAATGCACTGGACTACTCTTACACGCTTTAGGGAAAAATATTAGGTTTACTCGCGCATGCTCGTGTTACTCGGCGATCGATGGGACGACAGATGACTAGTGACGAGTTATATGGCCAAAAGTTATGGCATGCATAGGTAGGAATACAATGTTTGTACTTCAAACAAAATGTCTTA